CACACACACACACACACACACGCACACACACACACACTGTATCTGCTGCTTCATGACCACACGCACATCTCTGCCTCTATCTGTGCCCACGGGCCAGAGAAAGAGGGGAAGGATAATAATTGTTTATTTGCACCAACACACCAACTGCTTCCGCTCCGTGGCTGCATGCGCGTGACTGCGGCCTCGTGCAGATGAAGCTGATCAATCAGATCAATCAACAGAGATTATACAGTATCCCGGGGGTCACGGGGAGGGCGCGAGGCCACGCAGAGTTCACGCAGCAGCGCGCACGATCCCCACGCAAAGCTGTGCAGGAATGGCACACCTCTGAGCGCGTGGGGAGGATAAAGAAACGATGTCTTATTATTATTATTATTGATTTTATAATTATTGTTGACTTCATTTCAGAGACAGGTGCATTCAAATAACTGCAGTGCGACGTTCAGGGCACATGCTGCTCAAGTTTTACATTAAATTCCGTGTATTCACTGATTTCACAATCTTTTATATATTATAGAAAAAGCACTGGGAACTATTTTCTGTGCCAACTTTCAATAGAAGCTTTGTGTTGATAGATTCAGGATAAATCCGAGAAAAGTTGCCGTGTGGCTGCAGCCGAAGGTGGTGCCGGCGATTAAACTGCACGCGCACACGCTGAGAGGTGTTTTTTTGTTTGAGGAGGAGATAGAGAGGAGAAACAGACGCATTTACAAAAAACGTGTCGAAGTCAAACATTGAGGAGGAGGAGGAGGAGAAATGTGGAGGAGGCTGTGCGTAAAAACGTGGGAGATGTGGAATGAATCCAACTTTACGCACCGGTATGTTTAAGTGGAACCACAGTTTTATTTTCCATATGAACAAACACACTGGACTTTATGATGACATGTTATAAATAAACTGGTGAGAAGGAATTTAACCTCCTAAAATCTTTTTTTCAGACTTGGTGTTTGTCCTAAAAATTCATCCAACTTTTGTTCTTGTGTATTTTACAGAATTATTATTATTTTGGGGGTTTTTTCGTCGTGTAATCTGCCCCAGAACTGCAGTAATGATACACACTACCGGCTATATAAATAAATCTGTAAGTCTATAGCACAGAGTGTGTGTTTATGGGCTAATTTCGTTCCAGCCAATGATTTAAAAACCTGCCTGCGGCGACTTCAGCAGAGCCAGTGTCTAAAGAACTGCAAGTAATTTAATCTAATATTAGAAATATGTGATTAGTTATTGAGAGAACATTAAGAATGGTACTTACTTCGTGCTGTGAATATATTGGGCTCGCGTCACGTTGCTTTTTCTCATCTGAGTAAAATAAAGAAAAGCCTGTCATTAGGAGTTTGAATGTATTTTTCCTGACGCTGCCGATATCAATTAGAAAAAAGCTTATGAGATAATTTTAATTTACACTTTCACAATAAATAAATCATATAAACTGTCACTTAAAGTATTTTAAATATCTACAAGTTACACGTCACAATATAAATAAATTTTATGTTTTTATCATTAATTGAAAAATGATCCATTTAAAGGAACATTTTGGGAGAAATAGCCAAGAAATAAAGTTTTAAACTGGTCATTCGATTCTGTGTTATTCTAACCGCGCAGCTCCGCGTTATATACATTACAAATACACACAACACGTGAATAATTCAGACACGATTTCATGTGTATTTCTACTGCAACAAGCTCATATTGTTAATGTTGTACTTTAGTTTACTCCATATGAACCAATACTGACACTGCAGTACTTTTACCACAGCAAAGAATACCATTAGTAATTATACAGTCAGCTGCAGTAATGTAGAAATATATAATGGTTAAAAGCTTGAATCAGAAGATTGTTCTATGATTAAACTTACATTCAGTGCACATGAGGATTTCATTTTAAGTCAGGATTCACGAACGAATAATGCATTTTCTGTTTTTGTGATATTGGTTCTTATTTTCTTACAGATCTGCTCCTCCTGCAGTTTTGCATCACTCGCAGTTTCTTCTTCAAAGTTACAGACCTCCTGTGTGCAGCAGGTTTCTGCTGTGCTCCTCCAGCAGCAGCAGCGTGAGGAGGTGGAGGAGGTGGTGGAGGTGATGTCTTTGTTCGGGTTGAGTTCAGGACACAAACTGTCCCAGAGGAGCAGCAGAGGATCTCTGTGTTCCCAACACTTTCTTCAAACTTTACGCTGAAACTGTACACACACACACACACACACACACACACACACACACACACACACACACACACACACATTTCACTCACCCAACATGTGCATTTGTGTCTTATTTTGTGTTTTTTTAAAAGCAGTGGTTATTTAAGAGGAGTTGTGGAACTGCTGAAAACGATCAGTTGTTTTGCAGTTTAATATCTAAAATATCAATCTGAACATAACTTTTTATATCAGGAAGTTTATTAAACCATTTAGAGGAAATACAGCAACATGACAAACTCACTCAGTGTCGCTAATAACTTCTGTTTCTTTACACGATCCTAATAATGACTTTATTTATATACACGTCCACAATTCTCTTTAGAAACTGGATTTTAAAATAAACTGGAATCTAAAATCTTGTGTGTTATCTTATTGTACTTAAATATAAATACATCCACACACAGACAGTGGTTAGTTTGACCTCTCCTGACAGACAGGAGTGGACAAACTCCTGCTGCTGGTGTCCTCATCTTCATCCTCATCTTCATCCTCCTCCTAATTATTTAAGGTTTTAAACTGGAGTGACAGTGAAATTGAAAGTATAAGTTGTTGTTGCTGCACTTCACTCATGAGGTTGTATAGTCTCTGTCAGTTATTCTAAAAAAAAACCTGCAGGATTTCACTGATTAGATAAAATTACTGTTGTGAAATAAATTTGAACATTTGACGACTTCTGATTTCTAATAACTGCTTTTTGGAATATAAGTCGTCTTGTGTTTAATCCGTCTTTGAATCCAATATTTACATATAATATGTCTTACCTTTCAGACGAGGTTATCCTGAAAAAGACAGATAATGTGAAATACATTTATATTTACAAAAGCTGATGAGAGACGTCAGTAGCGTAATAAAAATGCTTTTCGCTGTTTCTCCCTTAGGAAATTTAAGGGTTAAACTTAAAGTAAGTTGGTTTTTAGGGGGGGGAAGATGGATGCGATGCTTCGACTGCAAATTAATCTCTGAAAAGTAAAGAGCAGAAAATGAATCCAGGCTATATTCATCATCGCAGAAACATAAACTAGTTAAAAGAATGTGTGCAACAAAAACTTTAAATTGTGGTTTCTGATGATTTATGAGAAAATCCTTGTGTGACTGATGGATTTCTGACGTATAAATACTAAAAAGAAACATAAAAAAGGTAAGAATCCATAATAATGATAATTATACTGAAGATATTAGTGTGAAATAGCAATAAAAGTCTGTTAAACCAACTTATTGGATGATTAAGTCTCTCTGTAAAGTCGTATTTGTATGTACAATGCAGTGTTACCAGTAAATGAACTGAAACTGCTGCACAGGGACGAACGCAGACGTGATCGTCTTGAAGAAATTCCCAAGTGCAACACTTTTACAGTCCTCCGCCATGTTGCATCGTCACTTTTAAAGCCTCTGAATATCTTTAAATCCAATGAAGAAACGTTTCATGTACCAGAGGAGCATGTTGTCATGGTGTAGACTGCCACCTGGTGTTACTGCAATGAACCGACAGCAACAAAACTCAAAAGACACAACATTTTTATTCATCATTTTTGAATGCAAACACATGAATCACGCACACAGGGAGCGGATAACGACACGTAAACCTCTACGTTACCTACAGAGGACTTTAGTTTCACACCGAGAGGGAACAAACCGGATTCTGACCGTTAACACGCAAGCAAACATCTAATAAACCTATGAAATCTGTACGACACCCGACAGCTCACAGTCCAACACAGAGAGAAATCACACACAGTCATTCGCTTTAAGGCCGAATGCATCCGGTGGGAGAGGGACAGAGGAAGAAGAAGCGATGAAACATGAGTAAGGAGGAGGAAGAAGAGGAGGAAGATGTCAGTGCAGGCAGATCATGGCACTTGCTCACAAATGTAAACTGAGCCAAGGCGACAGGACGCTACGCCTGTCGACTCTCACTGATCTGCACTGGTGCTGCGATGAGAGCGACTGAGACTGAGGGAAGCTGGTGGACGGATTCAACGCTGGAAACACAACAAAACAACTGCAGCACTCTTCTGTCCCACGTCCTTTCTCTATACTCCTGTAAACTCCACGTGTTTGTCCATGTGTGTGAGACGAGGACGAGCAGGAGGATGGTGAGACAACGTCAGGCTCGAGTGAGGAAACAGGACGGAGGCGTGAGAGGCACTTATGTCGTGTGAGTTTTTCAAAAGGCTTCATGAAGTTTAACAAAAGGAACAAAATGTTGATTTGACCTGCTGCTTTCTCAAAAGGAAAACAAATCCACCAAAAATACTGTGGACCTGGTGTCGCAACCACAGATTCATACTTTCAAATGTGTATCAGGATGTTGAAAATAAAAAACGCTGATCAAAAATGTTCCCAAGACAACGGTGATGTATTCAAATATTTTGTTCAACAAACTCCCCCAAGACAAAATAGAGAAAAATTACATTTGCAATTATTTGAAAGAGAGAAATTTAGAAATTTGAACCACCCCTGTTTTCTTTTTTAAATTCTGAAGAAAGACAATCAGGACATTTAGAGCTCAATGAGAAAAACATTTTGTTCTGTGTGCGTCATCAGCAGTCGACCTCAGATTCAGACGTCACTTCCTCCAAATAAAAGAAAAAGTTCCTCTAACTATACATGCATTGTTTTCCTCGTTTATTCAGAAAAATCTGTTATTTTTTTATGTTTTGAACGATAAGAAAACCCCTGTTTCCATTTTTTGAAGCTGCAAATGTTCACATCCAGCGTTTGGGACTGAAAGAAATACCTAAGACCTGAGCAGGGGTTTCCAGAGCAGGTCGAGATGATGTCCAATAAAACCTCCTCCCTTCATTATGTGAATTCTTATGAATGTCACAGTTGGATTTTATTTTAAATAGAGAATAAACCGCAGCAAAGTCTTCGTGACATAAAGTCGGCTGCAGCGACCCCTTGTGGTGAGGCTGAGACATTACAGGCTCAGCACTCCCTTCAGTTCCTCTTTATTTCCCAGGGTCAGTGTGAATCGTTTAAAATGAATAATAAATAATAACAAGGGATCCTGCAACAAGGGATTCGTTTTGGAATCAAGACGCAGCGAGAGGAAGCTGAGGCCGCACTGATTGAAAGAGCACTGCTGCCCCCTAGAGGCAAAACGCAGATCAACAGAGAGGACAGGATGATCGAAAGTTGGACGAGCTGCAGAAAGACAAGAGACAGCGTGTCTGTCCAGATGATGTGGTCAAAGCAGGGAAATGTCTTCGTATGTAAATGCTCTCAGGTCACGAACTTCCACTTCCGGTGAGGTCCGCAGCCGAACACGTGGTGGGATGAACCGAACTGGTGCTGCGTCTCTCCATTGGTGAAGATGACAGGTGTGTGTGTGTGTGTGTGAGTGTTTGTGTGTGAGTGTGTGTTAGTGTACTTCAGACGGGGAGAGGGAGCAGGAGCTTGAGGTTCAGTCGAATCCTTGCCAGTCGCTCTGTTCAGAGTCGTACTCCAACTCCACCCCGATGCAGCGAACCCCCTCCAGCAGCATGGGTGTCCCGTGGTGACGATCTGGAGAAGAGCCAGAGACATTTTCAAACCTCAGGACAGCGGACTCACTCCAGAGTCCCTGTACGGATCTACTTTTCTTTTTTTTTTTTTTTTAAAAGATCCTTCCGCCAACGCCAGACCCGCATTGGTGGTTCAGTGGTAGAATTCTCGCCTGCCACGCGGGAGGCCCGGGTTCGATTCCCGGCCAATGCAACTTTATTTTCTTTTTCATACAAACACACCTGTAATAATAATGTTTTTACTAATTGTAGCTTTCTATAGTTTGCTCTTTTATTTATATAACATGTAAAAAACATAATTCAAACTAACACAGTCCCATAGACTGAAGATTAATAATCGCCGTATATGGGAACAAACGAAGTGTGTGTGCGAAACTTAAATGTTTAAAGTTAAATTGAAAAAACTTTAACTTGAGCTTTTGAATATCACAACAATTACAACCAATAACTTCAGAAAACATATTTGATTTGAAACGTTGTGTGTATTCACAGCAGATTATTTAACACTGAAGCGCAGCGATCAGATCTGATAGTAACGGTGCAGTGAAGCGTCGGAGCGGAGGCAGAACTTAATCCTTTGATCTGGCTGCCCGTCGAGGCCTCAATTACACACAGACATCTGGACAGATGTTCAGGCTTTGCTCTGCGAGTAAAAATAAACAATACAACGCCATCCGCGCTCAAACACACACACGCAAGCCTATAGAAACACACACGTCCTACTATATGTGGAAACGCCCCCCCCCCCTGATTCTCCATCTGCTGACACAAGAGCCGGCAGCTAATGGAGTCTCACTGACACCAATTTAAGTGGAGAGAATTTAAATTAATTACAGAGACCAGCACACCAGAGCTGCAGCGTCAGGGAGCAGGTTTGTTATCGTCTACAACAGTTCTACAGCACTGATGTCACAATCTGGTTGTTTTCATTATTAAAAACTGTGTCTAAATAAAATGTAATATTCTCTAAGAGTTGTTGATGAATAACTCGTGAAGCTGAGCCTAAATGCAGGTTCACCAGCAGGAGGCAGCAGTGCACTACTGAAGGTAAATTCAGGTCTCAGTCAGGTACTTTGAATTTTAGGGTTGTGCATGTCCCATCCATCAAAATGGAGGAGGCAGGATTTAGAATGATGACCTATATTGTAGCTTGGCACCAGGTAGACACTTGGACTTCACTTATATATGACATATAAATGGCTACAGTGTAAAAGGCATGTTGTACAAGTGTTTAGGTTCGACCGTGGTGCAATATTCCTGAATAAAAATTACTAAACGTGGCCTCACCCATGACTCTGGCGTGAACTTTGACTCTGACACACACGTCCTCGTTGGTCTCGCTCAGCAGCAGCACCTCCTCACACAGAACTCCCTCCTGCTGGGCCATGTACTCGCACGTCACCTTCAGACCTCCTGGAAAACACGTTGAGAAATTACACAGAGGAAACAGAAAGATTAGGTTACCTCACTGTTGTGTTGACGCGTTCAGTTCAACACACAGGGACAAGTTGTCTTTGTCTCTCTCTGCGTGTGTGTGACAATGATTTGAACTCGGATCTGACTGATGCTCGAGAGGCCACCTGCAGGCCGAAAGAACAAAACGTCAACCTGATGAATGATGAATAAACACAGCTGACTGATGTGCACACAATCACAAATGCATAATAGAGGGTGTGACCGTGAACTGAGAGTTATAGGCAAGGATCCCAAAAACATTAGAGGGTCATCTTTGGCCAAAATCAGCAGCTTTAGTGGTGAGAAGGAAATCAGAGATGTTCCAATACCAACACCAGCATCAGGAGTGCCAGTGATATTTCTGAAAAAGCCACGTCTGCGAGTACGTGGATCTATTTACCGATCCAACACCCTGGTTTTAAAGTTCAATAGTCTCAGATAAAACTGCAATTTTCTTTTCCCGAAAATTACTTCTTTGCTGCAAGTTCTGTTTTTGATTTCCGGTAGTGTAGGGTGTGCCAGAGCGAGATAATGTGTCAGCAGTTTTGAAGGGTGACACTGGTGTCGCCACTTACGTTTGAAGAACTATGACACGAAAGAGCCGGAGTAGCAAGGGAAAAATGGAGGAAACCGCAGCGGCAAACTTTGGAAACCGCATTTAAACGGTACAATAAATTCCACATGTGCCCAGAGGCAGGAAAGATTACTGACAAACTTGTCGAGTTGATTGTTGTGTAATCCTAGATTTCTTTCTTCATGACTGTCAAAGTAGATAATAAAATAAAAGTTATCTGGTGTCATCCTCTATATGCATTCAAGAGCCAGGCCAAAGAAACTATACCAATCATCACTTATATAGAGGGTAAGTAGAATATAGCAGCAGTTATTTTTCCAAATGTACGAGTACTGGATTGATTATCCGCATCAGCAAAGTCTATCGGTATTAAACATGTTCACACACGTCCCTGTCTGATGATACAATCTTATCTCTGTGAGTTTTTTTAGCATTCCCAGGTGCAAACAAGGAAAATATGAGAGTCAGTGTTGTTTTTTTAACGATTCCTCGGAGATGGATTGCTGAGCCAGCACTTTATGTGAACTGTCTGATGCTGTCATCCTCAGCCATCTGGTCCACTCAGATCTGCCTCCAACAAAAAATAATCACATGCTGAACTGGTTTTATATTTGCATATTAATACTCTGAGTTAATGTTGCACTGACTTGGGAATATAATGTATTCTACAGTTTTCATTTCCTGGTAGTTGTTGTGTTCACATATGGACGGAGGTATTTTATAAAACAAAGGTCGTGTGGATGGAGATTTCGTTTTGAGAAGCAAAGGGGGAAATATCCGTTCAATATCCAAAGTCACGTAGGCCTTGTTTTCCATGTCCTCTTGGGGTCTTACCCTCTGGTGCCGGTGTGATGTCAGTGATGCGGAGGTGCGGACTGGGGACAGGCGCTGGACACACATCCTTCCCCAGAGCTGGGACCTCGGGCAGGTTGAACACTATTTCATATCGATGCTGCGTCTTTAGGAAGCCGACCTACAGTGAGGCAGAGGGAGATTTAATTCAAAGAGTCAACTTGGAGGAAATATAATTCTTTCTCCTTCCTATAAATGGACTAATCAGACTGTACCATAGGGAGAGAGGGTGGGCCCTAAAAGAAGTAATGGAGAGGGAGGGATTCATACAGTTGAAAACTTGGCCTCAGATCGAACACTATTAGTCCAATACAGCTCAATAAATACAGGATTAATGTTCCACGGATAAGTGATTCTCATCAACACAAGGCTGCTGGGATGAGCTTTCCTTGGATGACTCCTCTAATTGAAATCATTAGTTGTTTTCTGGTGGTTTTAATCCCCTCGCTTCAACCACATCGGCAATTTTAGCCTGAGGGGAAATAAACCTGAATTACTTTTTGGATTTCACTCAACTCCAACAAAATCTTTCCGTAATACTAATCCCACGTGAATAGGTTTGTCTGCTGCAGAGGAAACTCTCCAACAGCTGAAATAAGAGATTACTTGTAGAAATGTGAAAGTTGAGACTTGTTCATTCTTGAGCCAGTTTAAGCAGAAATTAACTCACATTATTAAATTTGTTCAGAATTATACTGTTCTCTTACTTGTGGCCCAGGCGCCCAACATCATTCTTTTAGGTTTGGAAATGCAAACTCAAAATAACACTAAAAATTCACAGCGAGTGAAATGACACGAAACCGGAATACAATGAACACGATAAATCATCTCAGGATGAAAAGCGGTGGCATACACGCAGAAGACGCTGATGAAGATGTCAACATGGAGAGACAAGATTCGAGATCTTTCGGGGATGAGGGCCAGCGCCGGTGTCGATGTACTGAAAACAAAAGCACGTGACTTCCACATACCACCCCTCGTCTGATCCGTATATCTCCTCCTGCTTCTTCTTATGTGAAAGTGTCGTCTCCCAGTCCCTCTAAGATCCATTAGACAGGTGAGCACGCGTCCATCGATAAATTGATGAACGTAATCAAACAAATCACACTGCTTTTACTGCAGAGAGCACAATACGTACAATTCATTTTACCTATAAAGACGACGAGCGACAGAAACGGTAACAGAGGTAGAGGTACAAGGACGTAGCTGCCTCAAATTTACCAAACAGAAAAATTCATGAGGGGATTTTCATCACAGAGAGGAGTGAGGGAAGTCTCACAGAGGAGACTGGATAAAAAGGGAGAGGGAGCGAGGGAGAGGAGGAGGAGACAGCAGGGAAGTGCAGGCGAGGAGAGATAAGCTTAAAGCCCCTCCAGCTAGAGCTGCAAACAACAGCTCCAGCCCCACACCACCCCAGGTTAGAGCGACGGGCAGGAGCTGCAGACAGCGTTAAGAGAGAAGGGGCAGAGGGAATAGTGAGGGAGCACTGCGGAGAAAAGCAATAATCATTCTGTGAGAAAAATTGACGAGCAAGGTTGAAGGGATTCTTGTTTATGAGTCTACAAAACTGTCAGAGTGAGACACACCCAGTTCACCCAAAACAATAGTGTAATTCTCAAGTCAAGTTGAAGGGAAATACCAAACATTTCATCTCAGTTCACCGAGCGGTTCATTCAGTGCGTGTTCGGAGAGGAGGGGATGTTGAGTGATGTTGTGTTGCTTTTACCGTGACTGCCTGTTCGTACAGGCTCTGCAGGAGCTTCTATTCTTTAGTTTCTTTTCAGCTGCTCTCTTGTGGCCAAATCATGTTGTAATCCCTTATCCGAGGATTCGCTCCTCTGCCTGGAACTACAGTATCCTTCCTGTCATTCACGTTAAATACATTTTAGGTAGTTCTTATCACACTAATGTAAATATGGTTTTAATGAGTGATTTGATGATTTAAAAATGGGGTAAACGTCACGATTGACAGACTCGTGATTGGTCGAGCACGTGCATCTTCAGGACCCCTGCTCCACGATCACGACTGCACAGACTCTGGCTCCAAGGAAGTGGAGACACATCGTCCAACTTTATTTACAGTCTATGGATTGTCCCTACAAGTACCACTTTTTTTAAAAACAGTGCAGCTTTAAACTACAATTAAACACCAGAGTAGCCTCTTCACATCTCGTTTCCTGCAGCCAGCCACATATAATCTGGTTACTCGCAGTAATGTGATGATCATGTAAACCTGCTACTGTTCTGCAGCGTGGTTGTGAAAACTCATAAGAGCTGCCTGCTCTGCGTCACTCACAACAATGTACATTTTTAAAAAAAACATGTGGCCTCTGCAGCAACACGTCTGCGGCAGATCTCTGCAGCACTGACAGCTGCTCATTTCCATGTCCTGCAATCACGAACAAGAGGGTGCACAAAGAAAAACTATTATCTGTTGTTTCTGCATGACCCCATGTGTTTGTCAGAGTCTCATAACCCCTCTGAAAACTGCTATTCATACAGCTGTTGTACTCATGCCGCTTCCATCCCACGCACTCCCACCTCATCTTTGGTCTGCTGCCCCCCCCCCCCCCCCCCCCCTCAACTGTTTCCATAGCAACACCACCCCCCTTAGCTCCATGATAAGCCTGGACGCCAGTTGCCCGTGCCCACTCTCAAGTACGCTTAAAGAGCTTTGAGAAACACACGCACACAGAATGAAAACGGGTGAAGGTCACAGCCAACTTTTCGGTCCATCCACACGTGCAGCTTTTCAAGCAAATTGATTTGGCTGAGAATAACTTTCAACACTTGGAGAGGCTTCGTTACAACGAGCGTGTTCAGAACTTTCCTTGGGGATTTTGGTGCGACAGAGAAATTGTGGAGGAAGAAAAGGTCGACCTTCTTCTCCTGGCAAAGATGAAACCGCTAAAACTAATATACCAAATAAATGTACTTTTAAACACGGCGGCCTCTTTACTGATAAAGAAAATGCAGAAAGGAAAAACAGTCCTTCGTTAAATTAACAAACTAGAGTGAGAAGGTTACATTTAATCAGCGACAGTAAAAAGGACATAACATGAGAACAACTCGAGTCCTTCTGTAATTTTGAAGTAAAAGATTCTAGGACGCACTTTGTCTGCAGATAGGAGCTCTTTTCAGAAATGGTTCCGTTAACGTGAGATGCTCGAGATGCACAGAAACAGATCCAAGGTCTGTTTGATAAATCATCAAGTGGCTCCTCTGGTGCATCAAATTTTCTAAAACGTTTAGATCAGTGCTCTCGAGTTATGCTACCTCCTCCATGTTAGTGGGCGGGACATGGACCGAACAATAAAAAATATCAAAGTACAAGTTAAATAAGTTTTTCTCAAAGTTGGTTTCTGTCATTTTAGCTAGTTCTCATACTCTCACCTTAAAATCTAAAAAAATCTGTACAGCTGGAAAAATATGACGACTTAATTTAAGACACCAGAGTAGAGTTTTTCTACAGGCTCAGATTTCTACACTTAATGTTGTTATGGAGCTTTGGCACCTTCGGCTGCCGCTCCTGAGTTGAGCACCTCCCGGGTTTTACAGGCGACAGATGAGAAGTCTGATATCATTGTTCTGGGCCTTTATAGCCGACAGAGGAGATTAAGAGTGATGAGAAAAGACTTTAATCTCCTCCTGGATGTTTCGCAGATAAAAAACGAGGCTCACAAGGAGACTGACACACTCGATCCCAAAGTTACCGTCTAATATTATATCCACCACAAAAAAACACGGCACAGAGGGAAGTCAAGAACGTAATTATGACCAATTACAAGAGTGACAGGTGGGTGGTGGTAATGTTGTTACCCGTGTCACATGGAGTAACACACCGCCGGCACACAAACGATTACACGGGTTTCCAATGGAGACAGAAACTTAAGAAATCTTTAAGCTGTTGCCTTCCAGTCTTGTCCAATCTGTTTCTATTTGTTTTAACGGTCTGCAGTTTAAAACTAATCCTCAGGGATATCATTACCTTGAAAGGACAATCAATTCAAACCTGGATTAAGCTGAGATGCAGCTGTTGTGCATGGAATCTATGATGCAGATGGAGACTGAATAATGTCTGTAGGCTGGAATAAAACCGCTGCAGATCATTTTCAAACAAAGGGAGCATGTGATGATGTCGGGTGAAAAACTGAGCTGGGGGGAAATCATGAACTCATAAATTCAGGAAAATGTTTAGTTTCAGGCACTTTGGCTTCACTCTCTGGCTCCGGAGTCTACGTCCATTATTATAAACAGTCTGTGGATCTCTTAAGAGGTGTCTGCGATTGTGACCCTTGTTCAGGGTTGATTGAGTTTTCACTAAAAGCATTAAGGTAAAAGAAGTGACAGGCTGATCGAATCAAAAAGAAGTTACTGCCTGTAACATCCATCCTCTCTTCCACAAAGAATTGGCTTTCAACTGTCGGGCTTTTGCAAGGTCACACAAACCTTGACCATGAAGTTGCCGTCATCCTCTGGAGTCACCATGACAACGGAGTCATGCAGCTTTTCGTCAAAGTGGACATGAGATGGGGCTCCAGCGGCGGGGGGCTCCTCTGAGAAGCGCACGCCTCCTGCCTTCGCACAACCTGAGAAAGAGGGAAGAGACGCAGAAGGTCAGACTTGGACACAGGCACTCACTACACTAGACTCACCAAAGCAGGACGTGTCAAACAGCCGCACTCCACTCCTTTTGATGACATAATGGAGTGCACAGCAGAGCACTTTACAATCACCCAACCTGCTGGGGGACCGAACGAAGCTGTTTATGGTCTGTGAAACACACATGCAGGAATTCATGCACATAAACAGCAGAGAACACGTATAGTTTTTAATGCTCTCATCATGGGAACGTCGCTGAAAGAAAGGCAAAGGGAGAAAGAGAGGATGAGACTGGACATGAATACGTCTGAGCCAGAGAAGCAACAATAAAAAGGACGTAGCATTGAATTCAAATTGTGTGTTTTCCTTTTTGGAAGAGGACTAGCTTTTTAAAATCACAGATGGACATGAATATCTGTGCTTCGTTGTGAGAATATCAGCGTTGGTAATCAGCAACACAGGCTTCAGAACGATGCTCAAGTGCGGACGTCAGGCTGCTGATTGGAGGAGCAACCTCTTTATATTCAATGAAGGAAGAAGTTCCAGTGGCCACAACAAGTGGCGTGAGTGTAGCAGAAGTCCAGCGCACTGTATTATTTGAATTGTTTCCTCTGAGGTCTGGAGAGCGATCCTCCGTAATGAGACCCGACGCCCCTTCCAGCTGAAATTCAGACAAACTGTCTGTTGTCTCAGAGAATTATTATTTTTTGGGAGGAGTGGGTTTATTTGGAGAACAAGCTTCTGCTCTCACCCACTGTTCAGAAGAACAATAAATATCAGCATGTCTCAGAGTCATAAGAGAACAGTAAAACCTACGGGAAATTATATGCTCAGCTTGGAAGACTAAACCTCTTTAACACCATTATTTTGACACAGAGGCTCCGCAGAGACATGGAGGCATTGAGGGCTGTGTAAAGTTATATTACTGGAGAGGGGAACGTTTGATAGCACACTGGGTTTCCTCACAGCTTAAGATAACATTTATGATTGATTCATCTTTCCATAATTATATTTATTATCAAGATTACATAAATACTAATTTTCACCAAACGTGGCGGAGGGATCATTGAAAGTTGGTGAAGAAGGCGTTCTTCTGACTGACATTCCAGTTTTCTCTACTCTTTTGTGCCAGTGTTGTTGCCAACCTGACAGCTAAGGAGATTTTCTGAATAGTTTTTTTAATAAATATTCGTCTTTTTACAGAGTTTTCTTCTCCATCTCTGGACCAGAAAATACTCCTTTAAGTTAAATCCTTTGGTCGGAAGAGGAGACATCTGACTCTCTCCATTTGATGAAGTCAGAGTCATCTGTATGAATTATTCAGCTGACAGAAGCAGAGCCTGATCAGAATCAAACATTTATCCAGAAGATCAAACCGACAAAAACACGATGAACTAATTATTCCAAACAGCACGTGTATTCTGGGAGTGTCATTAAATAAATACTACCCTGAGTTGGAAAGCAGGAGGAAGGATATAGGTAGGATTATATAAATCTAATCCCAGTGTCTATACGCTACAAATGTCTATCTGTATATTGTGGTTAATATTAAACACACAATCCTGTAGTGCATAATTGCTCCAGCCCATTAAACGGAACTCTATACTCACTTTGTGTCCCTGCATTATATGAAGCACAGGCCATATTGTCCCACGTGGGCAAGTTCCATTAAACTTTTATTCAGACTCATATTAGAGATTAGAAATCCTTCGCTATCAGCAATGTGGGTCACAATAATGAGTTCAGGAGTTGCGTCACGTTCCATATGTGCAGGAATAGAAAGTGGAACTGAGGAACGCTGTTTGCAGTCTGAAGTGCAGAACACCTTCCAGTATCAAGTCTTTTATTCAAAGCTCTAATATGAGATATGTTCGATGTGAAGTAACTTGAAACGGAATTTATTCCTCGTGTGATCCAGACGAATGATAACTTGTCGGTGGGAGGGATCAAAATATCTGCAAAATGAGTCTTCTTATCTTATTATGAGCTTCATTTAAATTCAACAATCTTTTCCTAATACATCCAACATTTACATAAAGTAATACCTGCTTATGAAAGATACAGCTGGTAGGAAATACATGAAACTTATTTGATGAACTTTTGAGCTTTGTACCATATGTTGTCATTTCAATTTATGATACAAATTTTAATTATAAACCTGAATATATCTTATATATCTTTCTTGATATTTCCAGCAGTTTTTCTTGTCTTGCTTTAAAATATTTATATTATTACTTTGGTGAGGAATGAGCAGGCGAGGCCTCAGATTTGTTGTCACTGCAGAAAAAAGCAGTATTTTTTCAAAAAGTCAGCAAACAGACGTTTCACTGTGATTTTTTGTGCGACCACAAGTTCAACTACTTCAACATTTGATGCATTTATTGACTTGACTCTACTGAGTTTGATCATTACAGTTTAAACTGGTGTTCCAATTTCGAGTTAAACCCTCGTTTATGCGCTCCTCAATTTTTTACTCTGCATCCTTTCATTTGGTGCATTTCACATGGAGAGTGCATACGCTCAGTCGATGGCACAGCTGGTGTTATTTCGTGCACTCGCACCTCACATCGGACATGCAGCACCATTTATGATGAAAATAAAAGCAGCAGCCGCACAAGTAAACACTGCAGTGGAAGGGATTGAATTTAAGATCAGACACTAAATCAATAAATATTCCAAGATGTGTCACATAACCACAGCGTCCAGGATTTGATTTGTTGCACGTGCATTTCCCGTCTTGTCTTTTCACTATTAACCATCAACTACAGAAAGAACAGCTTGTATAAGGGCGTGTCTCTATGTGCAGACTTACAGCTTCAAGGTAATGATTTTGATCACAGGACCCTATAATGATAAATAATGATAACTTGAATTCATAGACCCGAGGACACTTTACATGTGTCATAGGGACAAAAAGAAAAAAAGACCTGTTATTTCAAGTTACCACTCCGACTGTCGGAGGCTTTTCACGCGAAGCAGAGAAGTTCATACAATGGCGCTCGGTGACTGTAATTACATTCACTTCGCACACACCCAGCTGGATAATGACAGGCTTTGTGAGGCAGTCTATCAGTAGTTGGAGTAGAAAGGGGACATTATACCATGTGAAGAGATTAGACGTACATTTTTAATGAATCCACTATTAAAGGAAACTCATCAGAAGCATGAACTTAATGACTCAACTTGGCTTATTTCCTTTAAAGGACCAAACATCTCGATGGTGACGATAGTGTGTGCATAACTTCAGAACAAGAATTACAACCCGACTTGTCTCAACAAATTCTATAGAACCAAGGTGTTGCTGCTCTGTTGAATAATTTCAATACCAATGAGTGCACAGAGCTGAGCAGGGTTTAAAGTTTTACCCTCTTTACACTGGCTTTCTGTACTTTTCTGATTTGAAGTGGACGTCGGTTTTCCCCAGTCAGTCGGACTGTTATAAATATGGATGACTACTATCCAGAACTGAAGACTAAAAAGCAGCGGTAGCAGAGACTCAGGCTCATTATCACAATACCCGGCTCTGTGGCCTTTTAGATGGCTTTGATAATCCCAGACAGAGCAAGGACACACACCCAGACTCACCCTCACAGTGGCTGCAGACCCACAAACAGACAGATGCATGTGCGCACACAAATGAACGTGCACACGCATGCACACCCCCCTGAACTGGCTTATTTCAGATTAATCTGTCTGTTTCTGTCCCTCTGCTAATCTATTTGTGAGTGTCTCTGTTTTAGCTCTGCTGAAAATGACAGTTTTATGTCAGTTTAAATGCGTTATTCTCTACGAACTCTCCAACAAATCACATCTAACTGTGCATGTTTGTGCAGGAAATACGAGACATGTAGTTCCAGAAATTATTGACCACAGATCGAGTGGTTTCGATCAATGCAGAGTTTGGGGCTGAACTTTTTTTTTTGCTCCCCTCTCAGCTGTGCCGTCGTGTGCTAGCTTTATCCCGAACGCCCTGTGGGCAACATAAAAACTGTATTTACTTGTTTTGATAAAATTGTTTCTCGTCCCGCTGCAAATCAAAAGGTTGAGCAGAGAACGCTGATATTTTTAAAGGCAAACTCAACACCGACCTTTTTAATCCGTCTCACTGAATTTACTTCACTTTAACAGTTTTATCGTTATTCTACCTTATTTTTTCAATTACTTACTTGCTTATTTACTTTCTCTGAATTGTATTCCCCTGTTTTACCTCTTTTCCCTCTTCTAACGTTTTATTTATTTATCTTCATCCTCTTCACATCTTGATTTTTCTGTGTCTTTCCTTGTTTGCTTTGTTTTATTTCCACAGTTTCTGTTAATGTTGTTTTGTTCTGTAAGTGGACAGAGATGGATTGAGTTGAGGTTGTGGCCGTTTTTATTGATTTTATTAAGCACTTTGCGTTTCATTGCTTGCATGAAAGGTGCGAACCCAAATAAAGTCTGATTGATGGAAAAGCTTTGACGGTTGGTGATGAAATCAAATAAAAAACACACCCTCCAGTATTAGCTTACAATGCCTCATGTTGCAACAGTCTTTAAAACAAATTCAGTTATAAGAACAGTCCTCAGCCTTTAACTGCTCAAATCCATCTGCGTCTTCATCTAAACGTCTCTTTCTGCCTCTGCTCCTCACAACTGCTTCTCTCACTCCAGTCGTCTGTCACTTGATAAATAAATTCTCACTTGCAGAGTCATCTCACATCACAACAGCTACACAATGGGATGAGCTGGAATACGTGATCACAGAGGGGAATCTGAGGAATCAGTGTGAGCTTCTTCTCAGGATGAAACAATTACTTTCATTAATTCACAGTTCCTTCTCTATAGATTTGAGTCAGTTGCTCTAGTCATCAATTTTCTGAACATTTTCCAGAGATCCTGTCTGAAAATGATTTACTGTACGTCACTGTAGAGGATGTCTTTAGGTTCTGGACTGCTGGAGAAAACAAGCAAAGCTGAGTTGAAATAGAAGTTTCCAGTAGATTTCACAGTGCATGTTTGCTGTGTGAGCGATGACGACAATTTTTCAGTATTTTCAAAAATCTTTAAACGCTCACATGCCGAAAATAAGGGTTTTCATAAAGCTTAAAAATGGGTTTTCCACAGCAACACATGCCTCCCTCTCCCCATAAAAATAACACTTCAAACACTCTTCCTGTGACATTTAAGTCCTCCTGAGACACAAGACAATACAGTTTTTTAAAAATGCCATCAACAGGAAGTCAATACAGAGGCTCCCTCTGCACCAGCCTTCATTCGGTGACCTTATCAAAAAGGACAAAGGCCTGCGGAGCGGTCCTCAAAGACAACAAGCGCCCTGTCCTCCACCGGGTAATATAGGAGGCTCATTTGTGATTGTGATTATGTCTTGTGTTCTGTTGCCTGCCTCATTTCCAGTGTTTATTTTTCTCCATTGAGCCACTTCAGCTTTTGAGGAAATACATTTGCTTACCTCAACAACTAAAGAAATCTGTCATAAAGCTGCCGATACTGACTCACCACCTCTTACACACATCGTTCCCCAAGAAACCCGACTGACTGAAATATTGATCGTGAATTTAAAATGAACCGAGTAACCTTCCAGGAAAGCCTCCAACACGTCTCGCTGGTGAAAAGGTTAATCTGAGGTTCTCTGTCACGATGAATGATACCAATTTTATTTCCTTTTATCACTCCTGAGAAACACTGAGTGCAGGACAAAGATTAAGTCTAATTCACCCACGGCAGATTAGAGGATAGAGCTTCAAACATGACGATCACTTCCTGGCTCAGTAAAAGGTCTTACATGTGCTGGAACTAATCCATCCCGTGCACATTTTTCTGTTCTTCATGCACCTGTAAAGTTTTTATCTATTCCTTTAAATCACTGCGATCAAAACACATTACAATTCAGGATTATTAAGTGTTCCAGATCGAATGTGAGGAGAAGTGATGAAAGAATTAAGAGGAGACTGAGGGCCCGCTGGAAATCAGATCTGGGTTTAACAGCTGCTTGGTTTCCTTTGGGGGTAAAGACTATGAACTCTGGGAAAATGTCTGAAAACTGGATTTTGTCTGTCACATTTGAAGAACACGGCAGGAGATTGTCCAAGTCAAACACATTTACCACATGGGCTCACTCTGACATCTTTCTAGGGGCCTGGCAGGAAAGGTTCCAGAAAATGTGTTCCAGACTTCAGCGCAGGTCTGAAAGCAGCTTTAAGCACATTCATGCAACCATCTTTCTAGCCTGTGGGCACAGCTCTGAATTATTCACGACAAACACAAACCACTTGATCCTGAGACACACACATTTTGATCGTGGGTTAGTCTTGGCCACCTTCACCCTGAATATTAAGTTGTGTTTGTCCTGTCTGTCTCAAATGGTTTCCTCTGCTTCCCAAATGCCAACCTGACTCAATGCTACCGAAATCTTTATGAGAACATTTAAGTTAGCGAACGTCACAGTAATTGCAACAAGAACTGAATATAATAATGTAAACTCACTCTTCTTTGCAGCGGCCATGTCACAGGAAAGGGTCCGGCACAGACACACTTGGACACACGCTGTCACAGCCCTGTCATCTCAGCAGTGTGACCTCAGAACGACCCCTGCAAAACAAGTTAGGATTGAGAGGACGATGAAGAGAGAAGCGGTTAACACAAGACGAGAGGAGGGAGAGGGGTCGAACACAACACGCAATAATTACATCAACGGAGGAGCAGGAGAAAATGGGGAAGGAGGTAGAGGTTGGATGTGAGAGAGAAGTAAAAATGAGTCAGCTTCCCTGGGTGTTCTTACTTTCTAAATCCACAACCCCAGGTTAGCCCGTATTTCAGCTGAGAGGGCAGCTGTGCTGTAATAGTCGAGCCACGAGTACCAGAGACTCCCGACGGAGACTTCAATTAAAGGAAATACAACAAAACAGACTAAGAGGATTAGCCAGGAGCCGAAGCTGCTGTTTGTGGGTTTCGCACAGATGGAGAACGTTCATCACATCTCTGGGAGGTGCTTCATATAAATATGGAAAAGCAGAAAACATAAGTATATTTGTGTGCGGTACAGTGCATGATAACAATGAATTGGCAGCACATAAGTGAAAGAGACAGTTGGGGTCAATTAATCTACTGTAGAGATAAAAACGCACGAAAGCGGTGTTGTTTTTAGTCCGTCGTTACACAACGCACTCACTCTGAGTTTCTTCAAAGCTTTGACTTTATATAATTTTAAAAACCCGGGGAAAGTGTTGCATGACCTCAAATAATAATCAGCCTCCTCCCCAAGTTTAAAATGTATTCGATAATATCCTTTAGTATTCTGGGTGAGATGTAATAACCTACCCTCTTGTCCAGAATCACCAAAATTTGGTATACTTTAAACTACCACATGAAACCAACACTGTCAGAAAGCACCACGTACACTTCCATTGTTACGCAGACGACACCCAGCTGTACCTCTTTGATGCCCAATGGATGCTTTAAGAACGAGAAAAGTCACAACGTAAAATCCACTGAGAACAGTTTGGAATCAGAGGCTCATCCATTTTTAGCAGTGTGAAATATCAGAGCTGTTCTGACCTTAATGGGTCGCTATGATTAGAAAACCACAGATGGGATTCAATTGGACACACACTCGCCCAGCTGTGCGAGCAGTGCTGAGACACGTACAGAACGTCTTACTGGATGACAGAAAAAAACTGCTCCGCAAACAAGGTGTCTTGTATAAATCCTGATGTCTGGCCAGGCTTTCCTAGCAATTGCTCTCCCTGTGCCACAGCTCACAAATTTAAATTTAGAAGTCAGAGGGAGCAGCAACAGGTACTCGTCCCCTGCTTTTGAAAAGTGATTTTCATGCCTCTGTGTGAAACAAGAACACGCTGGGAGTGAGAGGAAACACAACTTTCACTACGAAGTAAACATTACATCACTGCAGTGTTAACCCGGTCCATGTATGGATCTTTGCCATTCTCTATTTATTGTACCAGATAATAAGCTGTCTGCTCGTTGTTACTAATGTCTGTTGACAATAATAATTACAATATTACTAATATTGAAAATAGCTGAACAATAACTAGCTATCAAAATGTTGAAATAACATTCGTGGAGTAAAAGCAGCGTTCCAATAATTCCAGGTATTAAGTACGACAAAATGAAAATACTCAACACTAACATGGGTTTATGAGCTATGCTGCAGCCAGCCGCCAGGGGGCGATAGAGACATTTTGGCTTCACTTTAGAGGAGACGTCCTGTCGTCCATCTTTATACACAGTCTGTGAACTTAACTTATAGTACTTCACAACGGTTTGTTGACAATAATTGATATAATACTGCTAATATTGTAAATAACTATGAATCAAAAATATTTAAATAACTGCAGTAGTGTCAAAGTAGTGTTACAATAACCCCCTGTGTTAACGCCACAAAATTAAAAATACACAATACACAAATTCGAGTAAAAATACTTGTGCACATAAACATAAGCTAAAAGTGAAATTATCCCCACGAATGATAACTAGAGTGAACACAACACGAGCAGCTGACTCGAAAAAGTTAAATCTCCATTTGTCTGTTGGGTTGTTCTTACCTTGGTTCCTTCAGGGCAGATGAGAGTCAGCGTGTAGAGACGATCCAAACACTGGTCCTGTGTGTGTGTGTGTGTGTGTGTGTG